AAAGTTGTGGTTGTTATTATGTGTTTTATATATGTGTTGTCTAAGAACTATTGACAGAATATGGGTGGGTTTACTTACTGCCAAAGATGTAACGAAGAACCACTTTTTGAATTTCCCTTTTTTTGCTTCATTCCTGTTCATTAGATCTCCATACCAGTCGATGACATCAGATGTGATTTCACAACGAATGTCAATCGACTGTACTGACTCCCTTTTCAGCAAGAATGTTCCATCCTTCCTTCTAAACATTATCTCATTACGGTATAAAAGCACATCACAACAGGACAGATGGTTTACTTTAATTTATCACATTAAATAATAGGTTACCACAACAAACCATATCTTACCACATCTTACCATATGGTAATAAACTAAAACACAACAGGAGTTATGGTTTAATCCATTCTTTAACAACAAACCATAGCTTACCACATCATACCATATGGTATTAAACTAAAACAAAACAGGACTTGTGCATTACTACATTTTGTAACATTAAACCATAGATTTATATAATCTTAACATAGCTTACCATATCTTACCATATGGTATTAAACCAAAAAAAACTGGAATTGTGGATTACTACATTTTCTATGATTAAACCATAGATTTATCTAATTTTACCATATCTTACCATATTTTACCATATGGTAACAAATTAGATGACTACAGTAAAATCATATAACAGTAGAAGTTTTAAGATGATGACTTACCTCTTGACAAATTTCTTGTTCTTGCATCTTATGTACTCCAGGATGTTGCTGAACATATCATCAGGTGTTGTTTGTGTTGGTGTTGACCATTCAACTTGTGATCTTTGTGATTGTGGAGCAACTGGATCAACAGTTGGAGTATTCAGGTCCTCCACGTAAGCATCTATGCATTCACGCACTTCCTTGAGCTTCTCTTGGCTGTTTGTGTACAAATTTGACCATATAGCATATGACTCCGTCTGTGACTGGGTGCTTTGTGGCTGTGTTGGTGGTGGTGTTGTTCTTGCCTTCTTTTCATATACATTCAAATTCTTCACCACAATTCTTCTTTTGCGAGGCTCTCCTGGTTGATTGGTTGCCATGGTGGTAGTCAACTTTGTTGGTGTTTGATCTTTGAGAGGGCTGAGATCGAAGGATGGAATGTCATCTTCCCTTGTCACTTTAGGCTTCTCAGCATCTTTGGTTGTCAATTTTGGAGTCTCTTCTCGAACAACATCATCTGACACCGTTTTCTCGCTGTCAGTTTCTGTAGTCTTTTGTGCAGCTTGCCCTGTATTCCCTTCTTCTGTTGTTTCCTTATCAACATCCATTGGATATGCTGTTTTTGTAGCTCCTTTTTCTTCTGTTTCTTTTGCAGATGTCTATTCTGGAACTGCTTTCGGGGTGTTCTCTTGTTGTGGTGTTCCCTGATTCAGATCTTCTTGAACAGCTGGTGGTTCTGTTGCAACTTTCCCCAGTGGATCTCCTTCTTGGATGCTTTCCTTATTCACAGTTGCTGGAGCATAATCATCTTGCTCCTTCGGTGTAGATGCAGCAAGATCGACTGTAGATGGTTGTGAATCATCTTCTTTCTGTGTTTGCTCCTCGTTCTCCTCTTTGTTCTTGTCTATCTTTGCCTGTTTGAATATTTCATTGATTGTTTTATCCAAACTGGCATTCATTTCTTCATCATTCTCTTCTTCATCATCTTCACACTGAGATTTTTCTCCTTCTGTGGGCTGAACATATTCATCACTGCTTTCTTTCTCAAGATTCTCCTTGTGTCTGATCAGATTCTCAATTTGGCTGTTGTACTGGTCTTTGATTGCTTTCATCATTGCCTTCATTGATGCTTCACGCAATTTGATTGCATTCTCAGCCTGCATAATGAGAGTTTTGTAAGATACCATGGTGGTAATGTGTGTATGGTGTATGGTTAGTTACCATGGTGGTAATACATGGTATTGGCAATTATTATCACTATTCTCCATTTTTATAACATGAAACCATATCTTACCACATGGTAACAAAGTAAAACAGAACAAGAATTATGGTTTCCTCCATTTTTATAACATGAAACCATAGCTTACCACACATTACCATATGGTAACGAAGTAAAACACAACAAGACTTATGTTTTCCTCGATTTTTATAACATGAAATCATAGCTTACCACTCCTTACCATACGGTAACAAACTAAAACACAACAGGACTTATGGTTTCCTCCATTTTTATAATATGAAACCATAGCTTACCACACCTTATCATATGGTAACCAACTAAAACACAGAAGGAATTACGGTTAGCATGTATTTGGACAACTCTAATATAGATAATTTGTACTTACTTGGTTGACTGTTCTGATATTCTTCAAATCAAAGTTCAGTGATGATGACTAGTCTGGAGTTTTGTTTCTTTGTCTTTTCGGTGACTGATAGACTGGCTCATTCTCCTCTTCCTTATCAGTTGCATCATCAGCCTCATCATCATTAATGTTGGCAACCTTTTTGATCTCAGTCAACTCTTTTCCATTGTAGTAGCTCGTAATGTTCTCAAAGTTGGCTTCGACATTGAGATCATCATAGTAGCTTACTGTTGGTGTTCGAAGCTGGGTTGAGAATGCCATTTCGTCCAGTTTGTACATGAAGCATACCTTTTTTATGCAGATAGTTGTATTAGTTTTTTTCAAAGATTATCATTTATATGTAAAATATATGAGTAACAAGGTTGAAATGGCCAAGGGAATGGAGACTTACTGTAAGGAAGTGAAGATCTGCACTGACATAGAGGTTTGATGATTTCAATCCTTCATTCATGTGTTTGAAGAAGTATTTGCACCAGTTGTAGCTGGTGAAATGTTTCAGTTCTTCAGTCTTCAAGTACTCAAGCATGTTGAGTTCAGCCATAGGCGCTGAAGTTGGACACAGCAAGCCTCCAGTGACCAGCAGAAAGAACAATTGTAACCATCTCTTACTGTTTGGAGTTGTAGGAAGATCTTTTTCTACCTGACTTAGCTTTACCCTTGGAGTGGATGTTCCATCTACTTCGAGTAGGGTTTCTACTGCATAATCTGCTGCGTCGTCCCAAGAAATCATGGGAGGTACAACTTCACTATTCCCCATCGGCAGACCATATACTCTATGAAAGTCGATTGGTGATATCTTCATGCGTGTCCCATCAGGTAGCTTGAACGATTCTTTCATTGGATTGTATCTGTTCATTACGAACAGTGCAAAATGATTGTTTATCTTTGTCTGCCTGATTGATATTAAGCCTGCTAGGCCTAATATCTCAAGTTGCGCTTTCCGCTCATCTATTATTGACCTTGCAATTGCAGATATTCTTGTTGGGCTGCACCTTGTGCGAAAACTTTGTCTTGGTTTTACCATATTGTACCTGAATGTAGAAATTAGTAATAGTCTGTTAGTATGCTTTTTACCATAATATACCATATGGTACCATAATGGTTTCCTACCATACCTAATCAAATCATATATTTATCACATTTTACCGTATGGTAATTACATGAAACCATGTCTTATAAGATCTTAGCATATGGTAACGAAGTAAAACACAACAGGACTTATGTTTTCCTCCATTTTTACAACATGAAACCATAGCTTACCACACATTACCATATGGTAACAAACTAAAACACAGAAGGACTTATGGTTTTTTGCTATTTTACAACATGAAACCATAGCTTACCACACATTACCATATGGTAACGAACTAAAACACAGAAGAACTTATGTTTTTTTGCTATTTTACAACATGAAACCATAGCTTACCACACATTACCATATGGTAACGAACTAAAACACAGAAGGACTTATGATTTTTTGCTATTTTACAACATGAAACCATAGCTTACCACACATTACCATATGGTAACAAACTAAAACACAGAAGAACTTATGGTTTTTTGCTATTTTACAACATGAAACTATAGCTTACCACACATTATCATATGGTAACAAACTAAAACACATAAGGACTTATGGTTTTTTGCTATTTTACAACATGAAACCATAAGTTACCACACATTACCATATGGTAACAAACTAAAACACAGAAGAACTTATGGTTTTTTGCTATTTTACAACATGAAACTATTGCTTACTACACATTACCATATGGTAACAAACTAAAACACAGAAGGAGTTATGGTTTCTTGCCTTTTTATAACGTGCAATCATAGCTTACCACGCCATACCATGTGGTAACGAAGCAAAACACAACAGATTCTACACCAGTTCAGCAACGCATGCTAACGATTCGGTAATGTAGCGAGTTTTACTACAATTTTCACATGAAGTGTGACTGAAATACTGTTTCTATTGTTCTATGGATGGATTTCGAAGAAAGAAGTGAGGTTTTACCTTGATATTTTGTGCGAAAACGATTTTTGAGCCTCGTTGAAGTTGGAAACCCTTCGATTTTCAACGAAGAAGCGAGAACAGTGAATCGTTGAATGATTCTTCGAAAACCTTTGCGAAAATCGTTGAATGATTCTGTGTTTTCTGAAGTTTTTGGTGCGCGATTGGATGAAGAATGGAGAGTTAGAGAGCAGAGGGAAGTGCAACTGTCGCGTGAAAGGTGAGAGAAAGAAGGAAAGACGGCGGGCACGGTTTAATGTCACGTCTCCTTTTCAAATTGTCAGATGGAAAGATTACTATTTTGCCCCCCGTGTAGTTACTTTTGCTTGATCTGACGGTTGAAAAGCGGATGGAATGGACGGTTGATAGGGCGGTTACTGATATATTGGTTACTGATATATTGGTTACTGAGGGGATCCGGACCCTTAATTTGCTGACCAGAAAAGCAAAAATGAAAACTGACTGTATTTTTTCTGCTGCATTCTGATTTGACGTGTTTGCTAACTCAATATTCAGAAGCAGATTGACGATGTGCCTTTTCCATGTTTTTTTTTTTTTTTTGTTACATTTCTCCATGGTCGTTTGTATTATATGCAAATGACCGAACCTAAATCGGGGCCCATTTAGTTTTCTGGAAGCAATTGGACTCACAAATGGGCCGCAAGCGACGGATCCAAAATTGAAAGTTGTGGCACGTGTCCCAGCCAGAGCAAGTGCCAAAGGTAAACGGATATAGTAAATCGGGGGAATTTTAGAGAGAGAGACAGAGACAAGAGGCGGGAGCGCGAGAGACGAGAGGAGAGGGGAGATCGGAGTTAGGGTTTTGAAATTCGACGAAATCGGAAGGTCAGTGGGCGCGACGATCATCATCAATCGCAGTCGCTTCTCAAGCTTTACTTTCCCACGCCTTAATTTTCTTCTTTTGCATTCGCGGAGATTCCTTTTTGTGTAGCGAAAAAAAATAAAATAAATAATAATAGAGATAGAGCCAGCGGAATTGGTGAGTTTGATTTGGTATTTGATGATGTTTGTTTGTGAGAAAGAGGTGTGCTTATCATGTGCAGGGAGCGGCGAGGAAGAAGAAGAGTGGTGTGTGAGAGATTCGAGAGAGAGTGTTTGTTGCGAGTCTACGAGAGCGATACCAATTATCTCCACTAACACCAATTCCTTGAGTGATAGAGCGTTTTTTCCAATCCTAAGCTTCCAATTCTTCAGAATTTCCTGATGGAGCGAAAGCTTGTGGTCAGTACTTCTAGCCACTCCAATGTGATCCGTTTTTGCTTGGATGTTTGTGGGTTCATTGGTTGCATTTTTTTCTGTGTGCTCAATGTGCAGGTTCTGGGTATTCCTTGGGAAGTGGATACCGATGGTTTGAGGGACTATATGAGCAAATTCGGGGATTTGGAGGACTGCATTGTCATGAAGGTTTGAACTTTTGTCTCATATTTGACTTCTACGTTGTTGGGTTTTGACCTTGTCTCTTAGTGGATTTCCTCTGCTTCTGCTTTGGTCGTTGCTCTGTTTTTGCTCATATTTTCAGAACAGTGCTTGCTTCTGTGGTGGGATCCTCACGGACAGAAAAAGATTGCTGTTTTTTTTTCTTCCTGAATGCTAGATCATGTGCGTGGGCTTAGGTCTTTGAACAAGAAGTGAGGAACATAACTAGGGTGGTGTCCATCCATCCATCCAAACTAGAAGTGCCCATCAGAAGCCATAGACGTGGAAGAAAAATGCTACTGCCAGAATTTAACTTTTAATAGCTCTGACTGTCGTATCCATGAACAACATTGTCCTCAATTATGCCAGCACGATCTTGTTGTCGACACAGGGCATACTTTTACCTAGGGATAGTTATTATTAAACTGTTATAAACCAGGTGGTGTGTTCTATTAGGCGGCTGAATTTGTTTCCTGTTTGTGACAAGTTTTAAGCTTCACATTCCTTGTATTTGGATAAGGAGTAACGAGTCTTTTGATTATCTTTCTTACTTCTCTTTGGATGCTTTAGGAGCGTTCTTCGGGTCGATCTCGTGGTTTTGGGTATGTTACTTTTGCATCTATGGAAGATGCCAAGGTAATAAGAACTTTTGAATCACTAGAATTTATATATTGTCTCTGTGTCAATCTTCTCAGTGTATCATGGGTGCTGGTTCAAGTCTCTTATACTGACCTGTTCCTGATTTTACTGTCTGGTAGAATGCATTAGAGAGTGAACACTACATGGGGAAAAGAATGTTGGAAGTTAAAGTGGCAACACCAAAGGTTGTGATCTCGAGACATTTATGCTTATGTCAAAGCAGATATTCATGTACCAGTAGTATACTCAGATGTGCTTTGCCCTACTGTATTACCTTGTTGCAGGAGGAGATGAGAGCCCCTGCCAAGAAGGTAACGAGAATTTTTGTTGCTCGGATCCCACCATCTGTAACAGAAGGAAGTTTCCGTAGGTAATTCAACTGGACGGTGAACAAGCTGTGAAGTATTGCTTTATGTTTCCCTCACTTGTGTCGATTTTGATGTGGAGTGGATATGGAGACAAATTTGACATTTTTCAATCTTATTTTGCAGTCATTTTGAGAGATATGGGGACATAATAGACTTGTACATGCCAAAGGTGAGCTTCTCTACTCCCCTGAAAGAGTAGCAAACACAAAGGAGGATTTGGAAAACTCCGTTTCAGTTTCCTATCTTTGTTTGAATATACCAGCTGTTATAATTCATTGTGCTTTTTAAATAGATGTTCTTTCTTATTTGCACTTAAGCGGTTTGTTCCACTATAAAATATGACTTTTTTTTTTTTTCTGCAGGATCACAGTTCAAAAACCCATCGTGGAATTGGGTTTATCACTTTCGATAGCGCAGGTTCGGTTCAGTTGTCATCATTTTTTTGTTGTTGTTGTTGTCGTCGCAAGATCCTTGTTAAGCATCCCATGTGTATTCAAGCTCCCTTCCTGTTGCAGAATCCGTGGATAGTTTGATGGCAGACACACATGAATTGGGTGGTTCCACAATTGTTGTTGACCGAGCAACACCTAAGGTAACTTGTGGCAGACCGATACTTTCTTTTACAATTATAGAACACTTTTTTGCCCCTTCATTGGGATTGTTTTCCAAAATTCCACATCATTTGAGTTATTTTGGAAGCTTCAAATTTTAATTGTCAATTTGGGTAACAAATGTGACTTCGCCACCTCAGGAAGATGATTTCAGGCCGGCAGGAAGAGTGCCAGCAGCAGCTGCTCATGGTGGCTACGGTGCATATAATGCTTATATTTCTGCTGCAACTAGATATGCAGCCCTTGGTGCTCCTACCTTGTATGACCATCCTGGCCCGCTCTATGGAAGTAAGTAATGCATTGAATGGGTACCTTACTAGTTTGTTGAGCCAAGTTTGCCTTATTGATGATTTTCGCGTTCTCTATTCCGCTTGAACCAGGAGCTGAACCACCATCTAGGGCAGTTGGGAAAAAGATCTTTGTTGGAAGGCTTCCTCAAGAGGCAACTGCAGAAGATCTGCGCCTATATTTTGGCAGATTTGGCCATATAATGGATGTTTATGTCCCAAAGGTAAGCCTGCAGAAAACACATGTTATCTGCAATTAAGAATTGCAAGGACCAGCAACTTAGAACGTCTCTCATGTGTATAGGACCCTAAGAGAAGTGGGCATAGAGGGTTTGGATTCGTCACCTTTTCAGAGGATGGTGTGGCAGACCGTGTATCTCGAAGGTCTCATGAGATTTGTGGGCATCAGGTACTACATAGTTTCCCTTTCTTTACCTTCATGTAAGACTGGGTGCAAACCGAAATGACCTTATTCAATTTATCCATCACCATTAATTTCATTGTATGTGTGTTCGAGAAGTTGGATACTGGATTGTCAGTTGCGGACTTTATCTCATTTGTAAATCTTTCTTTCAGTTCTGTACTCCCCTTCACTGCCTCGTATTAATAATGAAACTAATTCAAGCCTGCAGTGTAGTGCACTAGAGGGAATTATTGCCAACATTGTCACTTTGTTTGTGTCGACTCCTTGTGCAGGTTGCTATTGATTCTGCCACTCCACTTGATGATGCCGGTCCCAGTACAAGCTATGTGATGCCTGGTGCTGAAGCTCTGGGTGGTTATGGTGGTCCTATGCGCAGCTTTGGTAGAATGTATGGAAACCTGAGCTTTGAAGATATGAGTGTACGTGTATGACTCCTGCTGTTCACTTTCTAGTCATGTAAGCAACTAATTGTTTATCGACTGCCGCTAAAATGGTTATTCCATTTTTCTTTCTGCAGTGGGGGTACGGCATGGGTGGCATGGGTGCTGGAAGACAGTCGTCAAGAGCAGATTGGAGGTTCAGACCGTACTAAGTCTCGGTATCCCTGAGCAAACTTCGTGTGCGTCATTGTTTAGAGTTTGGCCTGAAGGCAAAATAATAGCTTGATGAATCTCATATTCCCATTAGATGAACTGTTGTGCTTGTATTTAATTTCTTTCGGATAGCTGTTTAATGTTGACCTTATCCACCCTTTCTTACTTCAATAATGTACATTATATGACCATTTGATTAGATTGCCTGTATTGTAACGTTGCTGTAAGCTCTGATGTCTTTTTGCACCAATTATGCGACATGAAGAAAGCTTCATCGGTACTCTATGACCAAGTTCTGAGAATCATTTGTTGTTATTATCTTCCTAGCAGTGTACATAATGGTCATACCGCTGTGTATTAATACTTGCTACATCGGAACATTTTCTTGGCTTAAGCGAAGAAGAGATTAGAGAACATGGCAGTTGAAGCAGCTTCTCATGGAACCAAACCGCTTGTGCTTATATGTAGATTTGGATTTCTGAGATCTTGTGGGGATTTGTTGCTCCTGAACGCTAGGCATTGAGCTTCTCATTTGCTGAGCCTTAAGTTGTGCTGTTGTCAGCTTCGTCAAGATCTTGTCCATTGATGATGATCTCTTTCTCTCGAGTTTCATCTGAAGGAAATTGGTAGGGTGAAGGAGTTAGTTTCCTCTCAAGTTTCTGCTGATCATAGGCCATGGTTCTACAAAACTTGCATATATTGTTCAGAAGAGCATACGAACCTCGAGCTTTCGCATCTCAGCTTCGGCTTTTGCCTTCTGCAAGTTCTCCCATGCAGTGATTTTGGCTTCCTCTCTTTGGACCCTGCATTCGGAAAGTGACACTGAATCAACCTAAAAGCTACTGGGCATTTCGTCCGATCCATGAGTTGAGAAGGGAGGAAGCAAGGGATTGAGCCATACTTTGAGAAGTCTGAAACTGCCTCTGTGATATCCCTAGAACTGTTAGTGAGAGCCATTACATTTTGATGGAAGTCTTCGGGATGCGGCAATCTTTTCTTGACAATAGAAGAAGAAGAATGGTTCGTGGACCAACTTTTTACAGTCGCCTTCTTATCAACCTGAACCTCCCTGATTTCCATTTTGGAAGGATGTTCTCTACTCCCTGAATCCACCAGAGCAACGGTAGATGACCTCCTTGGAGACGAGTGGTTGCTTTTGCTGTCTGGGCTCATTTGAGTTGCCATATCCCTTCTTGAAACGACACGACTAACCGTATTTTCTTCATTGATCATATCTTCGTCTACTCTCCCATCTGGGTCAACAAAATGTACTGCCACTCCAACCGTCAGAGATGATAAAACCCTAGGAGAACATAGACAAATTGGAGCACAAAATGACCCGACATAATAAATTTGTAACCAGACAATCCTCTTGCGGGCATCAACTATATGCAGACAGATCTTGGAAGGCAACATCTAAGTTCAACAGATTATGAATCATGTACCACTGAAAAACGTATAGAAAGATATCTGCTTTTTACTCGAGATCGTTAGTATCAATGCATTTCCATGTTCCACATCCTCAAATTTCATCATTGTGGCTGAAGAAAAAGGAGAAGGAGAAGGAGAAGGGGGAGTTTACCTCCCGGGGAGCTAGGCAAGGAAGAATCACTAACTAAATCTGACCAAACAGGGACACTACCCGACTTCGAGACATTGCCTCTCCCACCACCATGATTCCTCCCCCCACCAGCCCCATAATGCAAGCCGACACCATTAGGCATCAAGACCCCAGTGGAAAAGGGGGAATTGACCACCAAGTTCCTCAGAGGCCCAGCGTCGAGCACCTGGAGTGCAGGCGAACAGTTGGAGTAATGCACCACACCAGGGGCCACAATTGGCCCACTCTTGGACTTGGGTCGCTTCTGAAACTGAGACTGAGGCTCATTCCCCGGGCCGTACCCCATCACCGGGCTGCAGACCCACCGCTCGGCGTCTTCCCATTTGGACGGCACCGCCCTCCCGCTGTAAAACGGGGTCAACCCAGTAACCCCCAGCTGTCGGGTGGTCGCCGACGAGGAGGGATGCGGCGGCACCCGCTCCGAGCACCACCCTTTGTTGCTGCCGTCCTGGTAATAACTTCTCGCCGCCGCCTGGCTGGGGATGGGGAATGCGCCTAGGCTCTGGGAAGAAGCCAGATTCTTCTTGTGCTGCTTCATTGTTTTCCCTCCTTTAGCTCTTCTGTGCAGAGAGTGGTTTCCGGAAAAAATCCCATAATACACTTATTATTAAAAAAAATTACCAAAATACAATACTTATAAAAATATTTCCCAAAATACAGCAGTTTGGTTATCACCGCTGCAAACAAAAACAGTGATGGATATCATCGCTGTGGACAACAACAGTGATGCTATCATCGCTGTTGTCAATGACGGTGAATAACTCACCGTAGATTTAAGACGCGGTGAACATCTTCACCGTTGGATCCAAAGGCGGTGAAAGTGCGCGGATCGCTGACGTGGACGCGGGCGGGGACTTCACCGCTGAAGACCAAAGCGGTGATAACCCCGCTTTTCACGTCAGCGATCCGCGCCACCCGCACGTTCACCGTTGCCGTTGGATGCAGTGAGGCGCGGATTGTGGTTTTTCTCCACGATCCGACGCCTCACGCCGCGCCACGTCAGCTATCCAGGCCATCACCGCCTTTGTTGGACGCAGTGATTTCACTGCCTTCGTCAGAAGCGGTGATTGGTCCCTGGTAGTTTTTCCAGCGGCTCTTTCCCCCCCTTTCCCCTATAAATACCACTCCCCCCCCCCCCCCCCCCCTCATTCCAAACCACACCAAAATCATATACTTCTTTCTCCCTCCTTTACTTTCCTCTAGTTTCGTTCTAAGTATGCTCCGTGGTTGCGGCTAAGTCCGATCTTCCGCATCAGAAAGAATTACTAGAGTTAGTTTTTGTTTTGTTTTGTCGATACTCTCGCTAGCTTTTCGGCAAAAAATGGACGAAGAGGCTTTGAGAGTACGTAAATTAATTATATTCTTTTGTGATTTTTTTTTACATGGGTGCTAAAATTTAAATTGATTTGATTTTATATTTTTTTATAGATGGGTGGTGAGATATACGACCCTCGATTGTATATCGATCCTGGCCCAAGGGATCGAAGGTATTTAACTAGGGGTGGGCAACGGGAAACGGCTATTTGGGTATACCCGTACCCGTCCCGTTTTTTAAGGGTTACGGGTACCCATATTACCCGTAATGTTATAAACGGATGGGACTTGGGATTGTACATTCCTAATATGGGTACCCGCGGGTTACCCGCAAATACCCGTTTGGGTAATGTGGATACCCGTTATACCCATTCAATATAAATTCATTTAAGCCCACAGCCGAGTCCAATTCACTAATTCATAAATCAATTACCTAGCACAGCCCAACCCATTTCGTCCCTTACCCAGTTACCCTTTCAATTACCATTTCTAACTACATGTCCTGAATTGTATTTGATTTATTAGCTAGCTACTACTACTGTTGTTATTTGGAGCCATCTAACAGTTTAGTTAAACTTGCCCTAACTGCTACTGCGTGCTACTAATTGGAGCTACCTAATTGTATTTGCTGGTATACATTATTAATTTTTCCCGTTTCCTGTTTCCAATTGCAGCTCTTCTTAGTGGTTTAATTAATTTGTTGTTATGCATTATTAATTTGTTGTTAAAATTTTAGTGATTTAAACTTTGGGTATTTATGGGTAGTATGGGTACCCGTTATCCGTCCCATACGGGTAATGGGTACCCGCTTCCCATATGAATTTGGGATATGGGAATGACTTTGATCTCCAAACGGGACTGGGTACCCGTTTCAAATGGGACGGGTATCCCGTCCCATCCCGTTGCTCACCCCTATATTTAACCGGGCAAGATCAACATCGCTCCCGTTCAATTTGGAACAATAATCCGGTAGACACTAAATTTATTTCAATAGTTTTAAAGTTTTTATTTTGCTTTCTATTGACTGATAATATTGTGTTTTTTGTTTTGTAGGAATCACTTATTCCCATCGCTCATCGAGGGACATGTCGATTGCCCCGTTGGCATGATCGACTGCAGCCCTATATAGAGAGGACGGGATTGCACATGCTGAGGCACATTACGAGGCTTGATATTGACAACGATCTGCTGACGGCAATGGCAGAGCGATGGCGCCCCGAGCTGCATACCTTCCACTTTCCCGAGGGTGAAATGACGATCACCCTCAAAGATGTTGCCATCCTCACCGGGCTCCCGATCACCGGAGATGCCATCATCGACAGCTCGAAAAAACCGGATGATGGTTGGGGGCCGTTGATTCTAGAGCGTTTGGGGTTCAACATGCCGACCACCACGCCTGTCGACGGGCATGGGCGTCCACCACTGAATGCGGGGCAAGTATTGGTCCCGTGGCTTGTTGACCACATCCAAATGGAGGTTAACATAGGCCCCGACACTCCTGAAGATCAGGTGGAGCGGTATGCACGTGTCTACCTAATTGGTTTGGTTGGTGGGTTTCTGTTCCCCGACAAGTCAAACCGGTGGATACAAGGCATGTGGTTAAATATGCTCCTCGGTGACTGGGACGAGATCGGGAGAAAAAGTTGGGGGTCGGCCGTCTTGGCTGGGATCTACCGAGAGTTGTGTACTTGCTCGAGGTTGGGAGCGAAACAAGCTGGTGGTGCGATGTTCATACTACAACTCTGGGCATGGGAGCATCTTCCGTTTTTAGCACCTCGAGACCCACGGGAATTCTGGTTGCCAGACGATGAGCTACGATTTGTAGCAAATCCCCCATATGGTTTCAAGTAAGTTTTATTTAAGTTGAATTTATTTTAGATATGCAATGGTAGTATTTTAGTGAATTTATTTTAGTGAATTTAGATCTATTCCAAGTAAGCGAATTTAGTGAATTTTAGTGAATTTAGATCTTTTCCAAGTAAGCGAATTTAGTGAATTTTAGTGAACTTAGATATCTTTCAAGCAAGGAAATTAAGTGACATTTTAGGTTTGCAATTATAGTATTTAGTGAATTTAGATATCTTCCATGTTAGCAAATTTTGAATTTTTCTAACCAAATCCTATTTAGCTATTTTAGATTATTGCCAAGTAAACATCTATGCCATAAAAATTGCTTATATACGTACTTTTGCTTAATTAGGTGGATCGGAGCAAATACAAACGACCACCAGCCCGAACACTCTTTGCTGTTTTATCGTGCTGAATTCGATAAGCCTTGGTGGAACCAGGTAAAAATACTTAAATTTCATCATTTTCAATTTTTTAGGTGTAGTGGATATAATTTGTACTAATTCCATGAACTATAATGATTGTAGGCGGTATGGGACCCATATCCAAATGAAGTGGTTGAGTTGCATCGTCTTAGACGTCCCGAGGATGAAGAGACATGGTTGTGCAAGGTGCCCTTAATCTGCTTCCACATGGTGGAATGGCATCTGCCCGATCGATCTTTGAGGCAATATCGATTGGAGCAACCAATTCCAGCATCCCCACCTCAAGGGTTCAGGGAGCTCCACGCCATTGACCTACGCCACACCAAAAAGGATTGGCAAAAGAAGCATGAATTCTACATCAACATATGGGAGAATCGAAATCAGTGGGTGGTCCAAGGGATGCCGGAGACAAGGCCAATGGGGTACCACGATGGCTACATGCGGTGGTATCGAAATTTCACGCTCAGATGGGTGTCAAAGCAAGGTGTTGTTTGGGGCGCAGTGGTAAGTGAATTCCATTTTGGCCTCTTTGTCTAAATTTTTGGAAGTATGATTACATGCCTATATTAGCTAGAATGTTAATTAATTAGTTAATTTTTGGAAGTATGATTACATGCCTATATTAGCTAGAATGTTAATTAATTAGTTAATTTTTGGAAGTATGATTACATGCCTATATTAGCTAGAATATTAATTAATTAGTTAATTTTTGGAAGTGTGATTACATGCGTATGTTAGTTAATTTTGTACAAGAATGAGTTCATTTTTGTAAGTATGATTACATGCCTTTGTTAGATTTAAGGACACCCCTTTGTCTTAATGTTAGTTAATTTTGTACAACAATTTATTAGGTTGACGGTTTGGAACATGCCAAGCACACTGTCGAGAGTGCACCCACCATGGATGAGCGGAAGACCTCTTTTTTGCGTAGGCTTTTCAACAACCTGCTTTGTTGTACTCGAGAGCAAAGGAGGGATGTCGTATTATACCCTCCAATGCCTGCACCGCCCCGACCGTCATTCCGTGCTGATGAGAGGATCGTGCCCCCACAAGAGCCCCCACGGAGGAGCAGAAGAAGGGTGAGAGAAAACATTGAAGAGCTTCGTCCGTCTCAACAAACTCAACTTCCTGAACCATGGGCACATTGTGAGTGGGCAACTAGTACTGAGGGCACCGGAGGGTCGTCAAGCTATGTCGCCACTCAGGAACATGACATGTTCGCCGCCCAAGCCACCCCTCACTTCCACCATCAGCAACAAAGTGCTCAGTATCAGACCCCGCTTCAACAACACACATCATCGACTTTCTACCACGCTTCTGGTTCATCTCAGCCTGTTAGACCCCCACCACCTGTCTACACTCCGGTGGGTGGTCGGGTTAAGAGGAATCCGCGAGGAGTTGTCCAGCGGGCTCGTGAAGAAGGAGGAGGTAGAGAAGGCGGAAGAAGGGGTCGAGGAGGTCGTGGAGGAAGAGGAAGAGGAAGAGAAGGGGAAGTGGAGGAAGAGGGAAATGAAGAGAACCAGTGAACTATTTATGTCGTCTTAATCAGTGTTTGGTCTTGTGTTGTTTTTTCATGAACTATCTATGTCGTCTTAATTATGTTTGGTCTTGTTTTGTTTTTCCATGAACTATCTATCTCGTCTAAATTTGGTTTGGGATTGTGTTGTTTTCCATGAACTATCTATCTCGTCTTAATTTATTTTGAGATTGTGTTGATTTTCCCCCATGTTGTACCAAAGTAAACAACAAACACCATTCATTACAATCACTCAACAAGATTAAAACAAGAAGTCCAACTTAAACATCACAACAACGAAAATGAAAGTGAACAAAAGAGTACTCAAGGTTGGTTTGTACTTGGCCCCGAATCTTGCTCTAGAGGTGGACCTGGACAACGCCTCTTGTCATGACCCGGTTGTCTGCACTTTGAGCAACGCTTTGGACCTCGTCAGGCACGTTGTGATTGATCCATTTCATTGTGAATCCTTTCGGTCCTAGGACAACCTTTGGTGCGCTTTAAGTGCAACGGTGGTATAATCAACTTCCCAGTGTCTACCGGCCAATAAGCTTCATCCAGCAGGGGGCTGAAACTTGACGAGTAGGAGTTCCTAATCGCCTGTTCCGTGTAGTAAGGACTAACCAAACTGTAAGCGCTGAGGGTTATCGACTTAGCTACTGCCATTGCATGTGAACAAGGTACTCTTCTGTTTTGATACTTTTGGCATGTACACTCTCCGGTGCGAGTTTCTACGTGTAGAGTAACGGATTGACGATTTTGTCCACGTCTTCCTCCACCCCATATACCTGTCATCACAGCAAAAACACCTTCATTGCGGTTGAACAGAACAACCCTGTGCTTACTTGATTTCTCCTCGATCTTCTGCATGCCATCAAATATATGATGTGCTATTGAATGACCAGCACGCTCCCTCCCTATAGCGAGCTCCCGTCTCTTCACAAACCACTCGTTTACCTTCCAGTATGTCATCTCCACTAGGACAGATGCATGCATTGCCCTAATGCCCTTGTAGACTCCATTTATGCTCTCGCCATGGTTGGTAGTTGCAATGCCGAATCTAGCCCCGTTGTCCATATGAAATGTCACATGTGCAGATCTTGACCTTCTGCCCATATTGCTCCCGCCCGATGTATCTGACGGATCGTCTTCATCTTCTGCTCGTACTTCTTTGGTTGATGTGCAACCGCTACAAGACCAGAGAATAAATAATTAAGCCATAAGAAATTTCATTTCAACAATATGGGCAAGAAGAATCGACTGAACTACATTACTACCTGCACTCCACAATTGATCTCTTATGTCTTTCTTCTTGCCAAATTTGTGTTGGAAATTGGCAAGGAAGTGACGAATACACCAGCGCCATGTCCATCCCCATTCGTCGGGAAAACCATTGACGGCGTGTTTAATCCCGGCATGTCGATCCGATATAATTGTAATACCCATTCTTTGTGTGACGTGGGCGTGTAGCTGGTCAAAGAACCATGCCCAGCTTAAGTTGTTCTCCCCTTCAACTAATGCAAATGCTACGGGGAAAATACTTAAATTTCCATCAACCCCAGTTGCAATGAGAAGAGTTCCTTTATACTTCCCAGTAAGGAAAGTTCCATCAACCTGTTAAAAATGAATAATTAGTTACTAAAAATTTTACTTAGTAAGGTAATGAACTAGTACAATATTTTGAGTCCGTAATATACCTGAATCACTGGCATGCAGAAGGGAAACCCGTCAATGCATGGTTTGAATGTCCAGAACAGACGATGAAACATCAACTCGTTCTGTACACGAACTTGATCTTCAGTTTGCACGTTGTTGTACCACGGCACGAATACCGTCCCAGGGTTGGACTCCTCCATTGCGGACATTAGTCGAGGGAGTAAAGCATACGAGTCATCCCAATCACCGTAGACCTCAGCCATGACCTTCTGCTTCCCATGCCACGCCTTCTTATACCTTATGGTGTAGGAATGTCGATCCTTCACCTCGGCCATAATAGCTTTTATCTTGATATCCGGTTGTGCCTCAATTAGGTGCTTAATGGTTCTCGCCACCTTTTTTGCTTTCAGTTGCCGGTGATCCTGTGAAAGTATGGTTGAGGAGCATCTGTGGTTGTTCTCTACTGTTCGCATGACCCAGAACTCTTGGTGCGCACCCACATTCAGCGCCATGTCTCTGTCGAAGCCGCTCTCTTCTCACAATGGTCGGCGACAAATCTGCAACGTCGGGCTACTGAAGCTACCTCTAGCGCTGCTGGTCTGCCTTCCCTTGTAACCGTCAACCCCACCGCCAGTCTCCCGCTGAAGCTTACCCCGACAAACTTCCTGTCCTGGCGTGCACAACTCCTGTCCTTACTTCAAGGACTCGATTTGGTCGGTTACCTCGATGGCACGACAGAAGCCCCTCCCGAACGCATCCTGGTCAATGGTGTTGAGGCACAAAACCCAGCCTACACTTACTAGTTTTGGCTAGGGATGGCAAATTACCCACCCATGGGTAATTATACCCAAACCCAAGTAGACCCATTGATAATGGGTTGGGTATGGGTGAAGTGCAAATGGATTTGGGGGTTTATAGATGGGTTTGGGTAAGGTATGAATATTGCTTCCATAATCTAAATGGGTATGGGTTGGATATGGATATCCATTTACTTGAGGGTGTTTTAACTAAACATAGCAAAAATTGGACCTATTTGTAAAACTTGAAAAGTTTAGGTACCAAAATGTAAGATCAAAAAAATTTAGGTACCAAAATGTAATTTTCCATCGATATTTTGAGGACTTATATGCAAAAAATAAAATTTAGGTACTAAATATGCATATATATTAAGTTTGGGTACCAAACTGTAATTTATATTTGGGCATGGGTACAAACCCAAATCCATTTGATATAAACCCAACTCAACCCAAAGTAAATGGGTATGGGTACAAACCCATCAAACTCTACCCATATCCATCTATTTGGATTTCATACCCAACCCAATTGGATTGGATAGTAAGAAACCCATCTCCTTTCTAGACCATCTCCTTTCTAAGAAACGTGGTGATCGTGATGTCGCCACCTATGTTCAATCCCTTCGCTCCATCGCTACTGAGATGGCTCTCGCCGGGACTGCCGTTCACGAAGATGAACTTGTCACCTACTGCCTGCGTGGATTGGGCAACGACTACAACGAATTCTCTGCCTGTATTCGCGCTCGGGAAACTCCACCTAACCTTGAAGATCTGATCAATTGTCTCGTCTCCCTTGAAGCTGATCGCAAGGCACGCCGATCGTCATCCTCTCCTGCGACTACTTACAACACTCAACGCGGTCGCGACACCCGCGGTCGCCATGACAAGGCTCCTATTCGAATTAAAACGGTCCGAATGAAGTATACCTCGGCGACGGTTCAGGTTTGAAGATCACTCATATTGGCTCTTCCTCCCTTAAGTAACCTCATCGGTCTCTTGTCCTACGTGACATGCTTTGTGTTCCAGCCATCAAAAAACCTTTGATCTCTGTTGCTAAGTTATGTTGCACTAACCCTGTTTCTATCGAATTCTTTTCTCGTTCGTTTCTTGTGAAGGACCTTCGCACGGGGGCGCCACTGCAGAAAGGAAGGAACAAGGGTGACACCTATGAGCTCCTTGGTGGTTCATCGGCAATACGTCTCGCGTTGGTAACCACTCGTGACTCTGCAACCTCCTGGCATCGCCGTCTTAGACATCCGTCATCCATATCCCTATCCCATCTTTTAAATACCCATTCTTTACCAGTCTCTAAGTCGTCTGTTTTTTCCTTTTGCCCCTCATGTTTGTTGAACAAGAGTCATAGACTCCCTTTTGGTGATTCCAGCTTAACTAGTTCTCGGCCATTTGACTTAGTCTATTATGATGTATGGGGTCCAGCTCCTGTCACTTCTGTTGATGGCTATTCATATTACTTAATTATTGTCGATCACTTTACGCGTTATACGTGGATCTATCCCCTTCACTTAAAGTATGATGTCCTCTCCGTTTTTATAGCCTTCAAACACCTTATCAAAAACTTCCTCTCCACCACCCTACGTCGGCTCTACACCGATGGTGGCAGCGAGTTCGTCAAACTTCGTACCGAGATTAGTACTCATGGCATTACCCGCCTTCTTACTCCTCTGTATACTCCACAACACAATGGGCTAGCCGAACATAAACACCGACACACAGTTGAGACTGGTCTCACCCTACTTCATCAAGCTTCCCTTCCCCTCTCCTGCTGGTCCTATACCTTTGTCACTGCGGTTTATCTTATCAACCGTCTTCCCTCGTCCTCAATTAAGGGTAGCATTATGTTTACCGTCCTGTTCAACGTGTCCCCCAATTACTCAAAACTCTATGTCTTTGGATGTCTATGTTATCCCTGGCTTCGTCCATACAGCTCCCACAAACTGAACCCCAGGTCCGTCCGTGCATCTTTCTAGGATATTCCCATCAACAAAGTGCGTATAAGTGTCTTGATTCTGTCACTAATCGTCTGTTTTTGTAGAGAGTGAGTTTCTCGGGGTACCCTCCTCCCCACCACCTCCAGAACCTTCGTCCTCTTCTGCCTGGCTTGCGGCGAGTCTTCCCCGATCACCACGCTATTGCCAGCAACCACACCCAGCTCATCTCCTGTTCCTCCCCGCCAGCCAGTGACGTCCACGTCTGGTCCTCCTCAAGCAGACGTCCCGCCTCGATAGACAGTCGGTTCGACCTCTACTGCACGTCCATCTCTGCCAGCTCCTTCCCATCCTATGTCAACTTGAGCTAAGCATAACATCTTTAAACCTAACCGCAAGTATGCACAGAATTTGACTACAAAGCAGGTGACTCCTCCTCTTGAGCCTCGCTCTATCGAAGAAGCACTTCGGTATGCGAAATGGAATGATGCACTTTGGGCTGAGTTTGACGCACTTTGTGCCAACCGCAAATGGGATCTCGTGCCTCGACTTCCTCACTGCAATGTTATTGGGAACAGGTGGTTGTACCGCATCAAACATCGACCAGACGGCAGTATCAAGCGCTTCAAAACACGTTTGGTTGCCAAAGGGTTCCATCAACAACCCGGTGTCGACTTCCACGAGACGTTCAGCTCGGTTCTCAAACCCGTCACTGTTAGGACGGTCTTCACACTAGAACTCTCCCATGACTGGCCGATCCATCAATTTTATGTTCACAATGCCTTTCT